GTCTGAGCCAAGCCACGAAAATCCCTGTTTTACTCTGGTAGTATAGTTACAACTTAGCTCAAACAGGGAATAAGAGTCAGAACTGATGAAATTAAAACACAAACACATGATAGAAGAAGCAAAGTCTGAGTTGCACCAGTGCACAGGGAAAAAAGTAGAAAGGAGCACACTGAGGCTGTGTGTATTTCAGGAGGGCTTCCGCAGGTGGTAGCGCATGTGCAGAGCTGACACAAGAAACCCAGGACATTATAATCTGGTTTAAGCTGCAGGGGGAACCAGACCACTGAGCCTTTGGCATCTACCTCAGCCCGCTGGTCTGTGAAGAAGGACAGGGGGAGAGGCCTTCCAGCTGATGATTCAGAGCACTTGGGTGAGGCTTGGTTTGGAGGTGCTCGTAAAGCGAGAGTCGGAAATGAAGTGGTGTGAGGGAGCCTGAGCTCCCTGACTGGGGTGGCTGATGCTGTAGGGCAAGAGGGCAGGCTGTGCTGTGCCTGGCTTCTCTCTGCACCATTCAAAGCACTTTTCGGTGGGGGGTGGTCACGTTTGGTGTAGTCGCTGCTTTACAGGCTGAGGAGAAATATTAAGTGTTACAGTGAGGAACAGTCAAGAAAACAGAAGAGGGGCATTCCCAGCTCCCTGGCCTCTTTCTAAATGTCAGAGTGTTGTCTCTTGATGAGTCTTTTTTTGGTTTTTTCCCCAAGCTGTTGGACTGGAGCCCTTGCTCCTGGCCTGGTTGCCCAGTTCTCCTCCCCAGCAGCTGTCCTGGCCCAGCAGTCGCCTTCGCTGGCAGCGCAACCCTCGAGCTCCCTGCAGGCCTGGCTGGCAGCCACCACCTTTCATTGCAAGCCTGCTCAGGAGGGAATTTACCTAGAAAATTCAAACAACAACAAAAAAAGGCCTAAAAGCGTGCTTGTACTTACTGTCCTGCTACCAAGCAAGTGGTCTAGTCTCCCTGCAAATGCAGTCCTTAATATAAGGATTTTGCTCTTTCAAACTGAAGGTGGAAAACCCCTGCTTGTCATGACGCCTGTCACTGTCTCCTCTGGTTTGAACCCTTGTCCACAGTTTGAAATGATTCTGACAGATCACTGAGGTGGTGGTAGAAATAAGCTACTTTTAACCTTCAATTATTTAAAAAAAAAAAAAGTCAAAAAAGTCAGTGATGTTTTGGAGGCACTTCATTAATTTGTGTCCTTATTTTCTGTTACACACTGATGGAGATTTCCTCAGGCTCCACATTTAAGAGAAGCCTGTGAAGTGCTTGGGGGATCTGCACTTGAATCCTTTTCATGTTGTTAAGTGGGCCTTTGCTGCAGGCTTACGGAGTCAGAGGAGCTGCACTGAGAGACTTTCTTAAAATATAGCTATATTTAATAATAACAGAGGAAGTATAAACTCACCAGCCTGCTCAGTTGCTTTTTATAGCAATGTTGCCCTGTTTCAAGCCTGCACCAGTATAGAAGTGTCACCCTTAAATACATGTAATCTTTTTCTGCTGGGAGTCACGTTTTCCAAGTAGGATCTTAGTTACCAGTGCTTGCTGTAGCAATAACTCAAAGCTGTCAGAAGCAGAGGAGAGGTATTATTTTAAATTTTAAAAATATATATTAAAGGAGGAAAACAAAATCCAGCTGAGGTGGGTTTTTTCTGTATGTTGTAATTTGGTGGGTTTGCCTTTTTCAAGAAGAATTTAATATTGAGAGTGCAGAAAAAGTGCGTGCATCTAGCATTTCACCTAATTAGCACAAAAAAAAAATAAATCTAGGCCAGGCACAAAGCCATGGGATTTAAAGCTCATGCAGACTTGAGAACCTGTGGGCTCACTCTATGTCCTGAACTTCTGGAGGGCAAAAATAGACATTGCAGGATCCATCAGGTGGGTAGACTTGTGTACAGTTTGGCACGTTAGACAGTAGGTTTTGCCTTTAGTCTGAGCTTGCTGGTTTTAATTCTCCTCCTTGCTACATATCTCTGTTACCAAACTGGGAAGCAACTTTCTCCATTTGTGCCACAGGTCCTGACCAGTGAAGCAAAGCTACATCCCAGGGCTCTTTGTAGGATTATTTTTGTATTTGATAAGGTTCCTGAATGAAATGCCCAGGGCATTCAGATAGATGAATTACAGAGCACAGTAGCGCAGCTGAAAGACAGAAGAGTTTTCAGATACTCCAGACTCTTCTTCCCCAAAATGAGCCTTGCTTTTGTGACAAAAAAGGCATAGTGCAGGCACTGCGCGCAGCCGGCAGTAGGTACTGTCCATATATAAATAGGGATGATATTTGTATTCCTTTTTCTGTCTTGTTTTTGCTTTTCAATCAATTTAACAAATGTTTCCTCTGCTGGTCTCAGAATCTGTGGTAGAATTGAAAACAAATTACATTTTTAGGAGAACTGTAAATATTCACATTCTCATATGCACAGCAAAATGAATGTCCATTTGCAGAGTATCGGCTGGAGGTGCAGCAGACGCGCGCTGTGCTAAAGAGAAGCTTCTTGGAAAAAGTTTTTCAGAGGTGACTTAAAGACAAACTCTCCACCAGGGACTTCAAGAAGAGGGAAATCACTATGGAAATCTCAGGAAATATTGCTGCTTCTCTTCCAAAGCACTTGGCTTAGGGTGGAGACTGCTCCAGACCCTTTCCTCACCCAGGCCAGCACTTGGTGCCATGAAGTGCCCCTGTGGAGGAGCTCACGTCACATCCTCGGGGTTACTGCACGTTGTGTTGGGGCAGGCAGCGTACCTGGGGCTCTGAGATGGGAGCTAGGACTGGAAACAGGGCCCTCATGGAAGATTTCAAAGGTAGTTAGTGCCTCCCATAAAGGGGACACTTATTGTGGGAAATGTGAAGGAAAAACTAAACACCTTCAAGAGGTTTGGGATTTTTTTCAATAATTAATTTCAGTAGCCAGTTTAGATGGATGAAAACCTGCCTGCACCCATGAGCATGCTGAGCCTAATGCACGCCTGGAGGTGACAGAGCAGGACACAAGTACTTTTCCAGTCCCTTCCAAGTGATTGTATTTGTCACAGATGTAGTTCAGGACAGTTGAAGGAAGGACAGTCACCATCAGCCTGGATCAATCCTTCTGCAAGCGGTAGGAAGAGAGGGTAAATGATTGGAACAGGGAGGCTGAGGTGCTTGAGAGTGTTTCATATTCAGTGTAGTTTGTGTCATTTTTAGGAGGCATAAATTAAGGAGTTTGCCTTTGTTCAGAATGCGAACAGTGGCATGACTTGAGTCTGCAAGGCAGCAGAACTGTTTTTACTGGAAAGGAAATATTCCCAAGCTGCATCAGAGGAAGTGGGAGGAAAACAGCCTTACCAGTAGGTCTTTGTCACCTTCTATTGGTGATTTTGTTAGGCACTATGAAGAGCAGGGAACTTCTCTCCCTGGCTGAGCAGAGGTAGGGTAATGAGCCAGGGACGAGCACTGTCTGTAGCTCCCTGAAATGACCTGCTCAGCTTGAGGAGGGAGCGGTGCCCCCCTGCCCTTCTGAACCCCCTTGTGTTTGCTGTACTCGGTGCCTCTGAAATGCTGATCTTTGTAGCATCTGCTTTTGTATTTGCAGAACATCATCAAGAAAGTGATCGGACAAAAATTTGTGTACAAGTTTGTCTCCTTTCCTGAGATTTTAAAAATGGATCCACATGCTGTAGAAATCAGCAGAGAGAGCCTTTTGCTGCAGGACAGCGACTGTAAGATGCCTTCCGAGAGCAGGGATCAGCACAAGCACAGCTTGTCAGCACTGAAAAGCACAAGCCGTAACGAATATATCCACTCTGGCCTGTACTCCTCCTTCACCATCAACTCTCTGCAGAACCAGCCAGACCCTTACAAGCCAATCAAAACAGAAAAACTGGAGGAGAAGTCAGAAGGAAGCACGCCACTGGAAGAAGTTCGAACTGTTATAAGATTTGTGACAAACAAAACAGACAAACAAGTTATGAGGCCCATGGTGTCGTTGCCTTCCACTTCCGAAACAGCAGCTGCCTCTGCTTTTCTCAGCTCGTCAGTATCAGCTAAAATATCTTCCTTAATGCTGCCCAACAGTGCCAGCATTTCATCTCCATCGTCATCTTCCTCCAGGTCACCATCTCTGTCTCCGACCTCACCCCTCCCTGCAGAACACAGGAGCCTCTTCTTTGAGTCCAGTTGCCACGACTCAGATTCCCTTGAGCCTCTGAACCTCTCCTCGGGCTCCAAGGCGAAATCTCCATCTCTTCCCCCAAAGGCTAAAAAACCCAAAGGCTTGGAAATCTCTGCCCCACCTATGGTTCTCTCCAGCACCGACATCGGTTCCATCGCCCTCAACAGCCCCGCGCTTCCTTCGGGATCCCTGACTCCAGCTTTCTTCACTGCACAGGTAAGACCTTCCTGTCTCCTCTGCTCTTGCTTCAGGCAAGTGTTCCCTCCATGTGGCCAAGTGTGAGCTCTGTGGGTCTGTCACCGTCTGCTGGAAATAAATAAAAACCCCCAACATCTGGGGAAGAAGGAAACATAGCAGAATTCTGAACAAAGGGTGGGAATTAGGTTCCTCCTGGGGTTGCTGCATGAGTGTGGGAAAAGTCATCCCTGTTTGCAAACTGCCGGAAGGGTAATAGTTGGTGTGGGGGACTTGCTTATCAGCTCAAACCACCCTCCAGGTCTGCAAAACAGGCAGGGAAATACCAACAAGAAAAACACGGGGGTTTTGTTGGTTGTAACTTGAGCTTGTGCGATGTGGTATGCTTGGTTAGATTTCTCTAGTACGTGTTGTGTCCATTCAAATGGTGACATTAGTTTTTGAATATGGAGCAAATTAAGTGGTTTCTAAGACAAGGCTCATAAGCCAGTTTCAATTTCCAAAGTTTACAGATCTGCAGAGTACTTGCCAGAGCTTCCTTTCAGGAAGGACTTACTGAATAACCAGTACGTTGTTTTGTTCTTTTTAATCACCTTTGTGGTAATGTCAATGGTGAGTTCTCCTTTTCAAGCAAGGCTATGAAAAAAATCGAGCAGTTCAGAGAGGAAGAAAAGTCACATAGGTAATCACCTGGTGTGTTCCTTGGGGGAGTTTTATCTTATCCTGCCACTGCAAAATTGGGCAGAAACATCCAAGAGTAAAATTATTCCAGTGGGGAACACCCCCTTAACATCTCCCTACCCCAGTGAAAGTTGCTGCAAATACTAGCATTGAATGAAACAAATGGAAGAGTAAAAAAAAGTACAGAGGTGAGGTGTTGGAAGCTCTCCTTTACTTCAGGCTGTCTGGGGGCTCACATTGTATCCAGCATCCCCTTTTCCCTCTCGGAAGGGACATTGCATGGGCAGCCTCATGTGCTGGTGTGGCACAAGGGCCTGGCCAAGGCGAGAGTGGTGGCGAGTCCTCCCGGCCAGCACGGCACTCGCTCGCCTTGAGCTTTTCATCTGGCTGCAGAGCAAACTTGTGCAAAGCCACTGCAGCTCAGGTGTGCCCGTGAGCCACTCGAGCTAGGAAGCTGCGTTGTGAAGAAAGAGGATTTTGTGGGTCGTTGTCTGTCATTTTTGACACCGTAAAGCCTCTAAGTGAAGCGCTGTTCCGCAGGAAGAACAGGAGTGTGGCAAACCAAAATTGGGGTGTATTGACAGACTCTTACAATCTCTAGCTGTGGTATAACCACAGTAAGTATTGTCCTGGTAGGGAGCAAATCTGACAGATAAATCCTATCAGATGCAATGACAGCATGAGTTGTTACAAGCTCGCTTTAATCTACTGCTGCCCCGAAACTCTCTATGAAGAGATTCCAGTCCTCACTTTGCAGTTTTTCTTTGAACATTTTTCTCACTCATCTATAAACTGGTGTACTTACTGTCCCTGAAAGACACAGAAGAGAATTAGGTAGATCATTGTGGCCCTCTTTTAGCAGGATGGTTAGCAAAGGCCATAATGACTGTTATACAACTTAATACCATTATAAATCTTTTTTTATCCTATCATAGAAGAGGCAGATGACAGCCACATAGGGCTGTGCCTGAGTCCATTTATTTAAACTTTTGGCTATGCAGCAAAATAGCTTTATTCTTGCATCCTAAATACTTGACCTAGTGAATATAAAAAAATAATTATATAAATATATTCAGTTAACTGTGATACCACATTGCAAAATGACAAAAGCTGTAATTTAGGCTGTAAATCTGCCGTTCATCCCGTTATCCTCGGAAGAGTATGCATCGTATCTCGAACGTTGTCTGATTTATCAGATCCCAGAGGTCCGACACCTGCTGCCATGGGGCAGGTGCAGAGCAGGATGTCAGACACCAGTTCCTGCTCCAGGAGTGACGTAGGTTTAGAGAAGGTCCTGCTGCCTGAGAGGATATTTCAGGTGGCGTCCCATGGTACGTGCCCATCAAGGGAAGGGAATGTTCTCCGGTGGAGCCCTGTGAAAGGGCACGATATGAACAACCGATTTCAGAACAGAAAAGTGGGTTTGAAGATGTCAGTGCATACAGTAACTGTACTCGGGCAGAGAGATGTCAGCTTTCCGTTTGGTTAGCTTCAAAGAGGGATATTTAGATTTTGTTCAGTGCTTGCTTCTTTTACAGATTATTGTTATTTTTATTGGCTCTCCCTTGGCCAATGTGGATATATAATTCTAACTTTCTTGTTTTCTTCAGGCCTTTACTTTAGCATTTGTAATGTGTACAACATGCCGTTTCCTTCGGACAAAGTAGTGTGCCTGCAGGCACCGTGTGCGTGGTCTGTATTGTATCCACATATGCCACCCAGGCTCCAGCACGTGCCTGATGACCTGGGACGTGATGTACATGTGACAGCATTTGTCCATTATCTGCCAGCTAGAAGTGACAAGAAAGATTGTACTTGCACACATTCTTTGTCAGAAAAGCCGGGAGCCATGAGCATTGTCCCTTAATGTAATCCTCTCTGCGCAATGAATTGCTTCTTTTTCAACTGTTCCTGTGCTTAGATTATGATGATGTTTTCTGAAGTAGAAGCTTCCTGCTGGGTTGCACATCTAACACCAGGTGTACAGCTGCATGAGGGCAGAAAATGAAGTGCCACATCAATTTCTGTGTGTAATTTAAGGCTAGCCTGTGCTGTGGTGTTGTTTACACTTAGGTTTCCTCTGGTGGTTTCGATGCTTGGCTGATGGCGATATTGAGAACAAGCCTGAGAGGCCCTGTGCTCTTTCCACATTAAATATTAACAGCTTTGGAGGCTTGCTTTGGCTGGCTCTTGGCTCTGGCAGAACTTGCAGACATTAGTCCTCTGATCATTGGAGGATATGAGCTTTTGCTTAGCTTGTTGTTAGGCATGTTAACACGCTTCCAGGGATGAATGGAGGGACAGCTCAGTTTCAAATCTCCTGTCTCTCTGAAGACTTGCTCTAGCTATATCTAGGTAGGAGCAAACACCTTCCAACTTTTCTTTGTTATTTTTGAAAGACGTACTCAAGAACTGCATTCTCAGATCTGGGTACCTGCAGTTTCTTGGAGAAAAAATAAAGAAGCGAGGCATAGCTCATCGGAGCTCTTGGTACAGTTGGCACAACACTGCTCTTAGTGGAACGTTGTTGGGTCTTGCTGCTTGCATCTCGGGTTAGTAGGCTCTGCTGTAAGTAGATCTCTGTTTATCCTGACGTAATGCGGCGCGTTCTTTGTTGGTCTCGTAAATCCCCATCGACAGCTGCCTGCTCATGGAGCGTCAGCCTGTAGCGCGGCACAGGAGAGGTGCGCTCACTTTGCCTGCCCCGTGAAAGCACCGTGGCCATGTTTGTGCAGGAGCTGCTCACAAGGGCTTGCTTGTCAAGTATTTTTTCTCAAGGGTCTTGACAAAAGCTGTCACTCGATGAAATCAAGACAGAAGTTTTCTCCTTGCCAGGCCTCCACCCAC